TTTAACAAAGATATGAGTGATTTTTAATAGTTGCAAACTCATAATTAAGGTAATTCTGAAATGACCTGAACACACCACATCTCCACTGCAGATCCTGTTTGAGGTAGCCAGTAATGAACACAATGAAAATGTTTTCTGTTGTATTTAGGCGAACTTGTCCTATCGTGTTTTATGCATCTTCTCACCCACTTCAGATGTTTATAGACAAAAGGAACCTGAACAATTTCTAGAACTACTAGAACTACCTCATATACCTGGAAAAAGTGACCCAATTTGTTTTTCTTAATGGTCAAATCCATATATGCAACCTGAATCTTCATATATCTGAAATTTTAATATTTAATGCATCAGTGTTAAATATACAGTATTCAGTTGTATTTATAGTATTTCTGCAGATATTTTGTCCTGTGATTGAGTCCTTCAACTGTAAATGGTTTGCATGATTCTGTGGTATCTGCACTATTGTTGATTCAGTAATATTTCCCCTTTGAAATATGAGAAAATGATGTAATTCGCATGATGTTCAATATGTTTTGTTGCCCAAAGCTTTGAGCAAAACAATAACTCTTATGACCAGCTTCTAGACCAGACCAAATTTTGGAGTTAATGTGCCAGTTTAAAATTAATTTTAGTCTCAAAATGCATGTAAGACTCAGGTTAGCATCTTTGAAGCTGAGAACATCCATTCAAATCGTAGAGTTCATTCATGCGTGTAATGAATTTGACCTACACATTAAAAACAAGAGTTTCATCATACATTGTTTTTATTTGGTTGTAGACGTCTTTGAATAACATTTGATTGGAAGAACATTGTTTTATTATTGAAATTAATTTTAATTATTATTCTAATGGAATATTTTAAGTTACTTTTGGCGCCACTCTTTCAAATGCAATAACTTGAATAAATAACTGGATTATCTAAATATATTTGATTTTGCTTATATATTTTTGTAGGGGAAGGGGTCGCTTATACCATCTTTTGTGAGATTGACATAAAAAACTTATGAAAGATGTTGAAAATGGCAGATCTAATATTTGTATCGTTTATTTTTAGTGTATTAGTCACAATCTTGAATTTACAAAAATCTATAAATATGCTTCTCTTTTTGTGAATATGGCATTTAAAGCGGCAGTTGGTATTTCTGTGCCACTAGTGACGCCAAATGAAACTAGTCCGTTTGTTTGAGTGGTGTTGCATAGCAACAATAACTCAACCAATGGTGTAAGTTCGGGGTGAGGGATGTTTGTCTGATCAATGATAAATAGGGAAATTTGTTTAAATAATCTTTTTATGCATACTGCAGTTTTAGCATTTGAAAATACCAACAGCATCAGTGGTTAAATGAATTGTGGTAACTAACCACTGAAGAAGCTGGAAACTGGTAACTCATTAGCCATGTTTCCCCTGATTTTTCATGAATCATAAAAAGCTTTGCACAATGGCCATTAGCATCAAGATTCACCAATACTAGATTAACTAGCATGGCCTATTATGACTGACAGCTTTAGCATATTTCTGTTAGCTAGCATTGTGGTTTTATTGATAATTTACTCAGGATATGTGGTGCTGCCACAAATCTAAAAGTGATGTCTATTTGTAATGTGTGTGTGTGTGTGTGTGTGTGTGTGTGCAGGTGTGCTAGTTCTATTTTGGTGTTGTCTAATATATTGTGTGTCTATGCTGTAGCAGTTTGTTTTCCTGAAGAAAACGTAAGTGGTGTTTGCTCATGTAAAAGTCACCGGTATTATGCTAGGGTGGTTGCCATGGAGTTGCAACGTAGTTGTTTTTAGCACATTACTATGCAGTTGCTAGGGTGCTGTGTGGTTGCTAGGTGGTTGCTCACTATCCTCAGTAAAAAATAGCCCACCACCAAGTCTCTATGATATCTTTGTCTCTAGATAAATCTTGAGATCCCCCTTCAATACAAATCTTTGAAAAATTTTTTTTCAGCTGGTCTTGATTAAGAAAATTGACAGGACACCTCAACAAATGACATGATTAGAATAATCCAGTTACTGAATGTTGTACACCCCATCAGTGATGCCTTTCTACCATTATTGGGCCAGCTTAGCTGGCCAAGGTTTAGCTGGTTGGCATGGTAGCATCAGCTCCTGCTGGTAGATGCTGCAACTACAACTGCCTGCAAAAAGAGCAAAGACAGCTAATGCTAAGGTGCTAATGCTTCTTTAGAGATACAGTATCATGTTCATTACAATTCAGCAAATACTGTAATATCCAATGTTTTTAAAAAGTGTTTCTTGTGCATGTTTTTTGTTCATTTGTGTATATTATTTAAGCTTGCTTCATTGCAGAACATGTCCTAATTTCTGTGTTGACTGGCATTGACCCATCCACCAAATCATAAAATGGCCGCCATCAGAAGGACTGAGAGGATGTCCCTCCAAATTTAAGAGAAAGTGCTATATGGCCGTTAGAATCTTCTATCTAATAAAGCCAGTAGGAGTTAGCAACAGTATTGCATAAGCTAGAAAAACTCTAGTTGATTAGTACCACACTATTAGGCATGTCAAATGTGACCAGTATAAATAGTATGTCAAGAAAATACTACACTCAAATACTTAATTCTAAGCTACATGATATTCTATGGAAGCCCGTTTCCGCCACTGAATAAAAAATGAAAAAGGTAATTGCGACTTTTTATCTCACAATTCAGACTTTTTTTCTCATTATTGTGTGATATAAACTCGCAATTGCGAGTTGAAAGTCATAATTGTGAGATATAAACACGCAATTCTGAGAAATGAAGTCAGAATTGCGTGATATAAACTCGCAATTGCGAGATATAAAGTCGCTATTCTGAAAAATAAAGTCAGAACTGAGATATAAACTCACAATTCTGACTTTTTTTCTCAGAATTGTGAGTTTATATCTCGTAATTCTGACGTTATAACATACAATTGTGAGTTATAAAGTCAGGATTGTGAGATATAAACTCGCAATTCTGAGAACATATCAGTCTCCCCACCCCCCTCAAAATTGGACTTTAACTCACAATTGCGAGTTTATATCACGCAATTCTGACTTTATAACTTGCAATTGCGTGTTCTCAATTTTTACACTTTTTCACTTTGGTTTGGAGCAGAGCTGATCCTCCCTATACGCAAAATACACAACATGAATTATAATTTCTTATAATGCAGTGCGCTGTTGCCCTTTCTACGTAAAAATCAGTCAAAACAAAATTTTGCGCAAATGGACTAATTCGTAATCTTTTGTGGTTAATAAAACACGTAAAAGCTGTTGAAACCAGAGCCGATCCTCCCTATACGCAAGCTGCGTAGGGCCCCCGAAACACCAGGAGGCCCTCTTGCTCTCAAAGATTATTTAATTTTAGTTTCATTTTTGAATTTGGCCAGCGGTTATGAAAACATGAATGATTATTTCTTTTAATGCGGTGCGCTGTCGCCCTTTCTACGTAAAAATCTGTCAAATCATGTAATGTGAATGTCATACAGTCTTGCTCGAGACTAAAAAAACGAGTTGACAGCATACCGAGCCGCGGAAGAGACATTTTTTCTCAAGCGCTTTCCATGATTCTAGACGGAGTGAAACATGGACAATGCGGTTCATTCATTCGTTCATAACCACTCATACCCCACTCCACACCCCCCCAACGACACAGTTTTGCATAGGGCCCCCAGAAGTCTAGGATCGGCACTGGTTTGGAGGGACATCCTCTCAGTCCTTCTGATGGCGGCCATTTTATGATTTGGTGGATGGGTCAATGCCAGTCAACACAGAAATTAGGACATGTTCTGCAATGAAGAAAGCTTAAATAATATACACAAATGAACAAAAAACATGCACAAGAAACACTTTTTTTAAACATTGGATATTAAAAAAAGTCAGAATTGCGAGATATAAACTCGCAATTGCGAGAAAAAAAGTCAGAATTGCGAGTTTTTATCTCG